TAACCGCGCTTCCCTCATAGTTACAATATGTATGTTATTCCACTGGCTAGGTTAAGGTTAGGTTAGCATTGTGGTGGTTAATCAGGTGACACATACCTAATCGACTTGGTGCGTTATAACTAATGCTTGTGTTGTCAGCATACTTAATTACTAATGCCTGTGTCGTCAGCATACTTAATTCCTAATGCTTGTGTCATAAATTACTAATACTTTTGGCGTCAGAATATTCAATTAACCAAGGCTTGGGTTGTCAGCATACTTTATTACTCATGCTTGTCTCGTCAGCATCCCTAAATAATCCTGCTTGCGTCGTCAGCATACTTATTTACTAATGAATGTATCGTCAGCATACTTAATTACTCATACTTATGTCGTCAGCATACCAAAATACTCATGCTTGGGTTGTCAGCATACTTCTTTAGTAGTGTTGTCAATATACTTATTACTTAATTACTTATGCTTGTGTCGTCAGCATACTAATTACTAATGCCTGCGTTGTCAGCATACTTAATTACTAAAACTTTTGTCGTCAGCATACTTAATTACTTATACTTTTGTCGTCAGCATATTTAATTACCAATGTTTGTGTTGTCAGCATACTTAATTACTCATGCTTGTGTCGTCAGCATACTTCATTACTAATACCTTTGTCGTCAGCATATGTAATTACCAATGCTTGCGTTGTCAGCATACTTAATTACTAACACTTTTGTCGTCAGCATACTTAATTACTTATACTTTTGTCGTCAGCATATTTAATTACCAATGTTTGTGTTGTAAGCATACTTAATTACTCATGCTTGTATCGTCAGCATTATAATGAAGGACTCACAATGAAAAGATTACATAATAGGAAGAATATTGATAGTAAGAGGATGTAAAACAGAGGAAGAGTTTGGTAGCGTGACACTGTCAATACACTTATCTTACATTTCAATACACATCTACTACGTTCTTAAGGACGACTTCTCAAACACCGCTTTGTTACAACTCTTTATTAATTACGACAATGACATGGACACATTTATAACAGCTTCTATCGAAGTTACTAGGACATTATATTTACGTTACCAGGACATAATATTACGTTACTAGGACATCATATTACGCTACTAGACACTGATTCTGGGACACAACATGAAATGAATACACTTCCCACGTTAAGTAACTCATCCTATGGAGAGCTGACAAAAACTCACGTGACCTGGGGGAGGCCTAGCAGGTGATTCTGGGTTGTCTCTATGGGAGACTGCTTAGCTGGGCACCGGTGTCCGGAGGGAAGTCGGGAGGGAAACTCTCGCTCCCAACTGGAGGAGGGCTTGCCTCCGGCTCTCTGTCTGACTGTCTCGACTCTCCTCCTTCGACTCCTCTGTCTGACTGTGCTCCCTCGACTCCTTGACTCCAGTGAGGGAGGGCTACGACGTCCTATATACTGGGAGACGGTGAAGGGTCCCTTTACATTTGACCTCGCTAATGTAGGGTCAGGTCTGGACTTTTTCTGAGACTAAAGTTGTTGTATATATTGGAGGCAGGTGGCCTCTTCTGTTGACTGCGTGCCGGGTGATTTGTAACCCCTTGACTTGGGCTGCGAGGGGTCCCCTTACATTTGACCCCGCTAATGTAAGGTCAGGTCTGGACCTTTTCTGAGATGTACTGTAGATTATTGTGTATATTGGGGGAGAGTCGGCAGGTGGCTCCTTCTGACTGTGTCTCTTACATATTTGTTGGGGCCGTGTGACATGGGGAGGGGAGCTGGTTGATTTGTAACCCCCTTGAGCGGCCGCGAGGGATACCCTTACACTTGACGCCCCTAATGTCGGGTCAGGTCTGGACTGTTTCTGAGATGTAAGCTGTGGTCTGACAACCCATCACTACAGCATACTTAATTACTCATTCTTGTGTCGTCAGTGTACTTAATTATTAATACTTTTGTCGTCAGCATACTTAATTACTAATACCTTTGTCGTCAGCATATGTAATTACCAATGCTTGCGTTGTCAGCATACTTAATTACTAACACTTTTGTCGTCAGCATACTTAATTACTTATACTTTTGTCGTCAGCATATTTAATTACAAATGATTGTGCTGTCAGCATGCTTAATTACTCATGCTTGTATCGTTAGCATACCTAAATAATCCTGCTTTTTTCATTTTTAAACGGGGATTAGCTCACCCGAGCACAGGGTCTACAATTAGACAACACATTATGCTACCAATATCTTCCCAGGGGGTAGTACCTCCCTGTTTGGTAGCTGCCTGCATCGTCAGCATACTTAATTACTAATGATTGTATCGTCAGCATACTTAATTACTCATACTTGTGTCGTCAGCATACTTAATTAGTGGTGTTGAAAACATACTTAATTACTCATGATTGTGTCGTCAGCATACTAATTTGTAATGCTTGTGATGTCAGCATACTTAATTACTCATGCTTGTGTTGTCAGCATACTCAATTAATAGTGTTGTCAGCATACTTAAGCTTGTGTCGTCAGCATACGAATTACTAATACTTGCGTTGTCAGCATACTAATGCTTGCGTTGTCAGCATACTTAATTACTAATACTTTTGTCGTCAGCATACTTAATTACTGATACTTTTGTCGTCAGCATATTAATTACCAATGCTTGTGTTGTCAGCATACTTAATTACTTATGCTTGGGTTCTCAGCATACTAATTACTAATGCTTGTGTCGTCAGCATACTAATTACTAAAGCATGCGTTGTCAGTATGCTTAATTGCTAATTTAATTACTAATGCTTGTGTTGTCGGCTTACTAATTACTAATGCATGCGGTGTCAGCATGCTTAATTGCTAATTTAATTACTATTGCTTGTGTCGTCAGCGTACTAATTACGAATGCATGCGTTGTCAGCATGCTTAATTGCTAATTTAATTACTAATGCTTGTGTTGTCAGCATACTAATTACGAATGCATGCGTTGTCAGCATGCTTAATTGCTAATTTAATTACTAATGCTTGTGTTGTCAGCATACTAATTACTAATGCATGCGCTGTCAGCATGCTTAATTGCTAATTTAATTACTAATGCTTGTGTTGTCAGCATACTTGTCAACCACCAGCGAGACAAGACGTGCCCTGAAGGCGCTCCCAGTTTGAGCAGCCAGGCCCAGTCTGTTTGCCCCTCCCCCCTCTCTATCCTAACGCTCTACCAGCCTTACTACACCGGGATTTATTCAGCAAAACATTCAAGTGATCAGTGAACGATTGACTACCAAACAGTGTTCCTATAGTGCACTCCTAACCTGACCTGACCTCACGGCTTCACCTGACCTAACCTCACGGCTTCACCTGACCTAACCTGAAGGATGGAGCACACTTTCATTGCCACAAGCTACTGTCCTGGCCACACACCTGCCCAACCGCGTCCAGCCCATATGAGCACGAACTGATTGCTCTAAGAACAGCCCAGTCCCAACCATTGTAAACATTATCAACACCTAATTATTATATATCATATTTGTATCACTTATGTTACTTGTATATCTTTTGTAAATCAAGAAACCCATTGCCCAATTATGTAATTGTATATTTTCAGCCTTCCGGCTACCATGCTTTCAATAAAACGTTAATTATTATGATTGTATCGTCAGCACGCCTAATTACTAATGCTTGTGTTTTCAGCATATTTAGTTAATAGTTATCAGCATACTTAATTACTAATGCCTGCGTTGTCAGCATACTAAATTACTAATGCTTGCGTTGTCAGCATACTAATTACTAATGGTTGCGTTGTCAGCATACTAAATTACAAATGCTTGCGTTGTCAGCATACTAATTACTAATGCTTGCGTTGTCAGCATACTTAAGTACTAATGCTTGCGTTGTCAGCATACTAATTACTAATGCTTGAGTTGTCAGCATACTTAAGTACTGATGCTTGCGTTGTCATCATACTAATTACTAATGCTTGTGTTGTCAGCATGCTTAAATACGAATACTTTTATCTTCAGCATACATAATTATCAATGTTTGTGTCATGTTAATGCCCTGCTCAATACGTACATGAATTCTTAATAGTCTTATCCATCACTCCTTGTTGTTTACCGTTGTTTGTATACCTGCACTGTCTATGTATGCTTATATACCTGCACTGTCTAGGTTCATTGTTTGTATATATTCACTGTCTACGCACAATGTTTGTACACCTGTATGGTCTATAATATGCATTGTTTGCTATATAAATTATCTACCTCCAATAGTTATGTCCAGTATTGGAATACATACACTGCCTATGTACTGTATATCTACACACTCTAGTAATACATACGCAATCACTGTGAACTTGTATGAGCATATTACCGAATCTCTGTCTCTGTCGTGTGAGACCCTATCAAAAACCTTGCTAAACTCCTGGTAAACTATGTTATAATCAATGTCCTAATCTCCCAAAGAGCTTGTTAAGAATGAGTGGAAATTTGTGGAACATGAACGCTATCTAGTAAGCCTCTTTGGTTGCCCCTAATTAAACAATTAACAATCAGAAAATTAATTAATGTCATCACTGTAATGACTATTTAGATACCGCTTCAATGAGTAATTAGACACCATTGAAATAACCACTTGGTCGCCATTAAAATAAGAAATGCATTCATTACAAAAAAATATATCAGTAAAATAGCTATGTTACCCCTTGAGTCTTCCCATTTCTGCCGCTTTCTATGATCGACTAAACCGTTAAAGGAGAGTTTATACCACTTCAACAAATTAATCTTCCTTACATAGATATACAAATACCTAGATATTGATCAACATAAATATATATATATATACATAGAGATAGATAGAAGTAAATATTAATACAGGATTTATAGTATCTAAGACCCATACAAGCTCACACACTACGTAAACAAACCTCTATGTTCCCCGCATCACGATATGGACAATTAAAGCCTAATTATAAAAAAATGAAAGTTAACAATGGAAGGAACACGACACATAATAACATCATTAATAAATAAATCGCTCTACTTACGTTTAAATAAGAATAATTGTTGGTAGAATAGAGAGCTCTTTGGTGTGGCCTGGTTACGGTATATTGCACTAAAATATCTTTGTACTTAAGCATTCGTGGCTACCACAAAGCGACAACCAATGCCTATCAGAAAGCTCTCAACCTCTCCATAGCACTGGAGCGCCACACACCCGCGCACACACCCTTTGCCCACCGCTGTTAGTGGCTGACTGAATATCACTCTGTCAGGCTGACTTTTGCCGAGTGGCCACTGGCCCACTGCATGTGTTGAGTCTGGTAGTGTGGTGAGTGATTGTGGGTCGACCTATGATGAGGCGTCGTGTGATTGGTTCCCTGGGACCGTGACGTCATAGATGAGGGAAATTATAATGTGATTTGCCCCCGCGATGTGGCTAGTTTATTGGGCACCCTCTTGCCTCTTTAGCAAGGCGAAGCGTCAAGGCGTTTACAGCGCCCAACAGGGAAACTGCAGAATTCATGCTTACTTGCTTTGACTCGGGCGATTAAGGACGCAAGTGCCTGGAGGGTCATGGATAATGTCGGCAAGCTACATGTAATAATAATAATAACAATAATAATAATAATAATTAACGGTTTGTTGAAAAAGTTCTGCAGCCCGAAGGCGGAAAATATGCAGCACATTGGACATAAATGACTTTATTACATACATTGGTGGTTTAGCAAAAGCCTTCATTAAAGAAAGGTAAAGGAATATACAGTGAACATACGGATTAATGTAGGTGTTGAACAGCAAACACGTAGTGTAGTAACTCCCTCCCAGATGGTGTCAGAAGGAACCTCACGTGGTGTGGTAGTTCCCTCACAAATGGTGTTATGAGGAGCCTGACGTGGTGTAGTAATTCCCTCACAGATGATGTTATGAGGGGCATCACGTGGTGTAGTAATTCCCTCACAGATGGTGTTAAGAGGGACCTCACGTGGTGTAGCAGTTCCCTCACAGATGGTGTTATGAGGAGCCTGACGTGGTGTAGTAATTCCCTCACAGATTATGTTATGAGGGGCATCACGTGGTGTAGTAATTCCCTCACAGATGGTGTTATGAGGGACCTGATGTGGTGTAGTAATTCCCTCACAGATGGTGTTATGAGGGGCCTGACGTGTAGTAATTCCCTCACAGATGGTGTTTTGAGGGACCTGACGTGGTTTAGTAATTCCCTCACAGATGGTGTTATGAGGGACCTCATGTGGTGTAGTAGTTCCCTCACAGATGGTGATCACAAATAGGGTGGTGGACGAGTGGAACAAGCTTAGCAACTATGTAGTAAGTGCTGGAACGCTGGAAAGTTTCAAAAGGAGACTGGATAGATTTATTGATGATAGAGAGTGGTAGTAACGCTCGACAGGAGCTGCCATGCACAGGCCAACAGGCCTATTGCAGACTCCTTACTTTCTTATGTTATATGAGCGAGGTGTGGTCCCAGGCCTTCCTATCGTAGACAGATTACACACACACAAACATATATATATAGGTAGAAGTATAGAGAGTAGGAATGTAAAGATAAGAAGAGTTTGGTAGCTGGCCGGGATGTTATTTACTCAGCGTCAACATATATTATGTTCTTAAAGGGACAACTTGTTAAACACCTCTTCGGTACAACTATTTATTAAGTCACTCAATGACATGGACACGTCAATATCATTATTATATCGGGGTACTACACATTATGTTACGTTACTTGACACTGACTCTCGGACACACATGAATGAATACACTTCCCACAGTAGGTAACTCACCCTAGGGATAGTCCTGACAAGACTCACGTGTACCCTGACGTAGGCCCAGTGGGTGCTTGGCTGGGCTGCCTCCTATGGGAGGCTTCTGCTTAGCTGGTGACGACGGGAAGACTGGTCGGGAAGCCCCCCCGACCTGGGGAGAAGACGAGCGTGACTCTGTGCGAGTGGACAGTCTGACGGCCCGGACGGGAGAGAGATGACAGCAACCAGACTGACAAGGTCAGAATCCCGAACAGAAATAATCGCGTGGGCTGGACTGCAGGCCTTTATATGGGGGAGGCCCAGTTGGTGTTTGACCTTAGCCCAATTAACACTAAACTGGTTAGATCTGGACAGCTGTGTTCAGGTGTGGTCATGCCCAGGAGTCTAGGTCAGGTGAGGTCACCCTCTAATTCAGGTGATTAGCAGACGGTGTCGCTTCCCTTGGGTCTTGGGGTGTGTCCACCTGGTATGTGGTGGTACCACGAGGTCTGTAGTGTACTTGCTGTTATATGTGATGTAATTCTGTGCTGTAAGCTTTGGTCTGATATTCAATCATTGCACCTCCCGCCAAGACCAAAGCTTCATCACAGAGAACTGATGACACACATAGACAGCAACATCACGTGTAGTATCTAAGATAGTCCCTGGGGTGATAACATAGTCTCATATTTACATACAACAATCTCATAGGTGTATGTTTTTCTACTGGCGCTAGTTTGATCTGACAAAGCTCACTGTGTGAAGGGTACGACTCGGCTGTTACTGTTGAGTTAAGAACATAAGAAAGTGGGATACTGCAGGAGGCCGACTGGCCCATACAGGGCAGATCCCTTTCACACCCATCCCAGCACTTCCATGTGTCTATCCAACTTCGTCTTGAAGCTCCCTAGCGTCCCCGATCCTACTATAGCACTCGGTAGCCTATTCCACATATCCACAACTCTATTACCAAACCAGTGCTTGCCTATATCCTTTCTGAATCGGAATTTATCTAATTTAAAGCCATTTGTTCTAGTTATTTCGTTATTACTGAGCTTCAGAACATCTTCCATTTTACCCTTGTTAATCCCACTTACCCACTTGTACACCTCTATCATATCTCCCCTAACTCTACGCCTCTCTAATGAATGTAAGCCTAAGCTTTTCAGTCTTTCTTCATATGGAAGGTTTCTAATATTATGGATCATTTTTGTCATTCTTTTGTACTCTCTCCAAAGAATCTATGTCCATTCTATAATAAGGACACCAGAACTGAACCGCATAATCCATGTGTGGCCTCACTAATGCTAGGTAAAGTTTCAAGATAACGTCAGCAGTTCTGTTACTCACAGACCTAGATATGAACCCAAGAATCCTGTTTGCCTTGTTGCGAACGCTAATACATTGTTTTCTAGGTTTCAAGTCGTTGCTAACAAATATACCTAGATCTTTTTCACAAACTAGTTTTCTATTTCCGTGTTACCTAGTTTATACTTAACGTTTGTATTCGTCTTCCCTATCTGTAGTACCTTGCATTTATCAGTATTAAAATTCATTTGCCAGTTTACTGACCACTCATGTAAGGTATCTAGATCTCTTTGAAGGTGTTCAAAGTCACTGTCTGAATTTATCACTCTCCCCATTTTGGTATCATGTTCTTATGTTCTTATATATTGACCTTGGCGACGTGTCTTACGAGCCCACGGCCTTGCCGGCGGTACACAGGATGCCAAATCCACCGAACATTGCCCGTTAAAGTACCTGTAAAAGAGAGAGAGTGAAGCAATATTGCGGCGAAGAGAAAGGAAGAGAGATTATCAACTAAAGGAGGAGAGTTAATAACACGAAATGCCTTTGATTCCACCCTGTCTAACAGATGGACAGAAGAAGAGCCACCCCAGATATGAGAGCAGTACTCCAAGTTAGGACGAATGAAGCCCTTATATACTTGAAGCAACTGCTCAGGAGTGAAGTAGAGCTACGGCCTTTGTACAGCATTCCCAGCTTTTGGGAGGCAGTTTTAGCAATGTTGTGGATGTGTGACTTCCATGACATATTAGAGGAAATGGTGAGGCCTAGCACATCTATTTTAGAATTTGGCAGAATGATTGCGTCCTGAATTGTTTTCATCCATTCTTACGAGTATTTACCAACACCATGTTACATGTAGTAATCCAGATGATATATACTAAATGTTATTTAATAATTCCTTGCGATAATTGGATAATTATACAGTATTTATCGGTACTCGGAAAAAAATGGCACAGGAAAAAATGGCACAATTTTCATACTATGAAAAATAGCACAACAAATATCACTTGGAGCTCACGAACCACAAACGAGCTAACAAACGTTCATAAAGCAACGCTTAAGGATGAATCACGCACGAACAACCTTTTGTTGGGGATGGAACAACCGATACAGTAGGTAGTAGCCTTTGTTAGTCCATGCATAATTGTTTATTAAATTCAGGAGATTTTTCCATAACTTAATTGATGTTATGGATGTGATAAGTTGTACGAGTTTTCACTAACACGGTAGATTGTTTTAGTTAAAGGTAATAAATGTTTTAAGTTATGACATTGATATAACTCTTAAGTAAGTTTCAGTAACAAACGTTATAAAATTTTAGCGAAAACATGTCAATAAAAATGAATGAGCCAGTTTTTTTCCTAGTAGAGACACCACCCCAGCCGTGAAGGAGGGTTAGAATGTTGGGGGGTTAAGAGTCAGCAGTAAATTGCTCCGAGTTGAAGTGTCACCCACCTACTCTTTGTTGATACTGCACCAGCACCACCCTCGGGGTTACAGGCGGGGTTCTGACGTTTCCTGCGAGGATCCCGTCACATATAGGAATAACTGCCTGTGACACTGTTGATCGACTTGCCAAAGAAGCGACACAAGAAGAAGATATTGAAGCCACCCTCGCCCTCTCCCTGAATCATCTCAAATCTCGCATACACGCCACACAACGAGAAGCATTCGACGTAAAATGGACACACCTGAAACAACGGGGCAGCGTCACACTATGCCACTATGACGCTGTAACCGGTGACTCCAACCGCCACTACAAAGAGTATCAATCTCTGACTCGATCTCAACAGATTATATACATGAGACTGCGCCTAGGGTACAGGTACCTATGGGAGTACATTGGCAACCCTGAGCCTGGCCGCACTGTTTGTAAACTTTGTGGCCAACCCGACTCTCACACCCTCCGTCACTACTTCCTCACTTGCCCTATGACCTCCTCCTACGGGTCCCCAGCCGTTACCAACACCTCTTCCCTCCCTGACCAGATATCCCTCCTCCTAGTCACTGGCCTGGCACTTGACATTATTAGGGACCTGCCACGCTTTGCTATAAACAGATGAAATGTACCGGGAATTTCCCCTCCCCCCACACACTCATCATTCTGTCACTTTATGTAACTTGCTGACAAAACCCATGACCCTTCAGGCTTCCACGCCCTTAATGCATGAGTCATAAAGGCAAGCATGAACTCCGCATGCTTCCCA